CTGATGTTTCTTTCATTACATTCCATTTCACCTTTACTTCTCTATGTTATGTGAATAGGATACTGATTCAGGTGTCGACACGTATTTTGGTCTTTGCACTTATCCTGGACGAGAGCTTAGGCATCGCATAGACTTAAAGGTAGCTTGATTACTTTTATATTGTAATCAGAATATGGTGTCATGTTGAAAAAGAGAGGAAAAGAGGGTTATCACTTACCAACAACCTCTTCTCTTTTATTTTATTGGAAAATTTTCATCATCCTTATTCAACATGCTTTGCTTTGCTTTGCTACTGACCTTACTCGTTTCAGGCGATGGAAAACTTTTCTAATATATTTTTACTGGTTTTATCATGCCAAATTGGGTTTTATGTGCATAATATTTTCATGTGATAATTTGCAGGTTACAGTATATAATATTCATTATTTGCTTGTATCCTCTACTTCTACTTTGTAGGTATATCCAAGGGACATATATGCATTTGGACTAATAGCATGGACTGGGAATGATGTGCTAAATAGAAGGCATGTTCCTTAATTATCAAAAGCATGCAATTAGTATTACAATAGGCTTGCTGTTGGTTTTTACTTTTTATAGCTCTGGGCCTGTTCATTGTGCTATTTGTTGGATGCAACATGCCACTTATCAATATAATTGTGTTGCTGGCTGGCGGATGGTAATTTTGTCGTAGCATATTTGAGTATTCTATGTTTTTACTGATAGTGTGTGATAGTGTTATCAATAGATGCTGTTGACTGATTCCCTAATACTGCAGGGTGATTTTATTCTTAAAAAGTTCTACACTTCCCATCGTTTTTACCTGAGTGTGGCTCATATATCATTTAGACTCTCCATCGTACAAGCTAGCTTTTGAGGCCGGGTTTAGTTTCTTTGATATTAGAGCCAGGTTACTCTTCCGTTCCATTGGGTTACCTGCTCTATGCTCTGATTTCTTCAGTAGGGGTGCCAGAAGTCTTAACATTGCCTGCCTCCTGTATCTGAGTGTGGCTTATGTAGTTATTAGTACTGTTCCATTATTCTTTGTCCCTTACAAATCTAAATGAACCATACTTATGTTCCCGATGCCTTTTTTTTCTTGGTTGCGTCCGTCATTTGTTGCTATGGAGCAAATATATGTTGACACTGACATTGATCCCTTAGTGCAGGTTGAGACTGCTAGCAGAATCTAAAGGATACAGACTCGATGATACAGGGCTATTTCCAGCTACTCATGGTTCAGGCGGTAAACGGGTAATTTTTTGTTATTGCTGCATGTAGCCTTCAGCTAAACCTCCATAATAAGGATTGATTCTTTTGTAGGGTTCGAGAGCTACCACAAGTTTGAAAATGGAAACGGAGGAGGTGTTCGATTTTCTGGGATTTCCATGGCTTGAACCGCGTGAAAGGAATCTGTGAAACAACATAGTTGCATGAACTTGCGATGCAAGTACGCTCCACAAAGCATTTCACCCATAGGAGCCTAGAAACTCATATGTTGCATTACTTCGGAACATTTCATCATTTAAAATGATAATGGGAGCTTTTTATTGATTTATATTATACATGAACAAAAAGATATATGAAAACAAAGTAAAATCATGTATATACAAAGAAAATTTTCACTATCAATATATTAAATAATTACTTGGGAGAAAGAAAAACAAGTCTCCTAGAAGATCTTTTGTGGAAAATATATTTATTACATACATATGTTTAAATCATAGAGAAAGGGCAAGGGCACTATTTAACCCTAAACTAGGACTAGGAGTCATTGTCTCTAAAATGTGGGGAAAAGAATTGCAATAGCTCCCCACGTTTCCACTATAAAGTTGGATGTGAAGGAGTCAACAAATTATGATGTATATATACACATATGGTTTTAAAGTAGGTAAGAGGAATTAAAGCAAAGAATTTAGCAATTACATATTTGATGGTTTTCCTTTGTCTTTGTGATGCACCTCCTCTATATTCCATTTCTGTAGAGCAAACTTTAGTTTGCACCATTATCCATGGGGTAAAAACTTAATGCTATGTTAGCATTTTACATCGCATATGTTCGTGTTAACATGTATTTTCGACGCATACCGTATGTATATCTTTTTGGTCTGCATTTTTTTAATTAAGAAGGTGATTTGAATCTCCAGATATTGGAACCCAAGGGCTTGAAATCTTGCTTAGTGTGTTACAGTCTTAAAGATGCGGGACCGGCATTTTGATTTTAAATGCGGATTTGACATTGTATAAGGGAAAGAAATGTTGAAATGAAGAGAGCGATGCCAGAGCGATGCCAACTGGTAATTAAGACTTTTCCGTCCTGTAATTGGCGGATTCTGAAGCATCACATGTTAGCAGTCGGTATTAAGGCATAAAGCAATATGTGATTATCACATTTTGCATTTGGTTTTGAAATGTAATTTCATTTAGTGTTTGTGGTCATAATTAACTGTCATGGCATTCGATAATTAAAACGGTGGGGAGGGGGTAGGTTTGTTGATTCTGCAGATTGCACATGGAGCCTGCCAGCCACGGCAACCAAGAAACCCTTTTAACTTTGATCCAGTAATAATGATGGGTACTTGTTTTTTCAACATAATTGTCATTGCCACCTTCAATTTGCAACATGTTTCCTCATTTCACCATCCCCATTTTGACCCTTTCATTTATCTAAGGGCTCGGGTTATATCTATCATAATTGGGTATTTCTTTTAGAACGTGTCTTCTGTTGATATGATAGAAGTTGATCAGAAATTTTAGAGTTGGATTGAAATAAAAGAAAGAAAATTTTTCAAAATATGGGAAATTTTTTTATATATAAATTGTCTAGAAAAAAAACCTATACATATAATAGTGATGAAATATACTTGTATTAAATTTGTGTTTAATGATTTAATAAATATACATTTAAAAGATTATATTTAAATATTTAGAATCTTATATATCTTAATAACGTAGAGTTTAAGAATTTTACTGAATACTTTAAATCTTATATTGTTTAGATATTTAGATAAGAAGGTTTTTTAGTGTTTATATATAATTTCTTAAGTTTGTATTTATTGAATGATTGATAGTAAAATTATTGTGTTTGTATTATCGCTCATATATGCGTAATTAAGTGTATTTGATATGTATTATTTTTATTTATTTATAGTGGGTGATATTTAAAGAATAGAACTAATTTTAAAAAATAATTGATAGTGAATGTTATAATAGAAAAATAATTTTTTAATGAATGATATTTAGGTAAATAAAAATAACCGGCCTAATTGTTATGTGTAATAATTCAAATATTCATTTCTTGACGGCCTTGGCCTTTCTTTCAACTAAAGCCTCTGTCAGTATGGATGGCAAAAACCTACAACAGCTTCATAAATTTGGCGTTTATCTCCCTCCAATTGAGGTTGAGGACATTACCTCTGTTTGCGCGTATTAGAGTCGGTAATTGCTTAGTTTGTAGTCATAATTTCTGAAATTATCAGTGTTTTATTTATTATAATGTTTTGTATGACATTTTATATCTTAACAATTTATTAAAGTTAACTTTATAGATAAATCATATGATATCAAATTAAGAAATATATCAAAAAAACAAAACTATAAAATATAGTAAAACTAATGTGGAACCATTATGAAAATTATTAATATTTTTTTCACTTTTATTTTATGAAGGATATCCTTTCATGTAAGGTTAGGGTATTTTTAAAATAATACAATATTTATCTTCTTATTTTAATATTTTCTATTTTTTAAAACCCTCTAATTCGAATATAGGAAACAGAGAAAATAAAATACCAAATATCTTTTTAGTGCTCAGTCAAGAAGGGTATTGAAATATCAATAACTATTTGGTCTAGTGGGATTAGGTCCTAAATCATTAAGTAAGGTTAGAGATTTAAACTTGACGTTTGATAATAAAGCAAACCGAGTTAGAAAGGTTATCCTCTCTTCTGCAATATCTAATATGAATTAATCGATAAATAGATTGAATATCGATTAATCACAAATATTAAAAAAAAGAGAGAAGGGTTTTGGAATAATTAAAAACAATTCAAAATATAAATATTTAAGAGAGAACGACTTTTTCACTTATTTTATTAATGGTGAATTTAAAAATATTTTTGAAGTTGGGCACATTACTAACATAAATTTTACACATAAAAAATTAAGAATAAATACAATTAATAAAATAAATAATGTAGAATGTCTTCCCAAATTAACATGTAAATCTCTGTGTATATCACAATTAAAAAAATTATTTACTAAAATAATATATTATTAATTGTTTATTGAAATAATAATTTTTTAAATATCATAAAAAAATACACACGACGTAAATAGTATTTTAAAAAAAAGTTATCAATCGTATTCTCTAATAATCATACCATGTAAATAAAATCCTTAACCATCCGCTCATTCTCTGGGTTAGATGGCATGAAAGGCACTTTTTCTAATTTCAATGAAGATTTAATATTTTAATTTTTTACCACTTATAATGTTTTTTTACAATAATGAGATAATATTTATTTAAATACTCTTAATTCTTTAGAAACAAACACTTATATTTGTACACATGTGATGCTCGAATTTAAGATTTTAAAAGATAACAAAATTATTTGATTTGTACATCGTGTTTAAACTTAAATTTTTTAAATATAATAATCATCTCTTGACCACTAAAATGATTAGTTTTTTACTTAAAAATTCCCTAAAGACTTCCTTAACTATCCCTTAATTCTTTTTTAAAATGATGATATATGAATAATAATAGAAAACTCCCATAAAAAAATCCAACCAATAAAACTTCTTTATTGCGTTCCAAAAATGAAAACACCGTTCCCCCCCCCCCCCGCGAACTCTTACCCGCCAACCAACTAAACCTCAGAATAAATAAATAAATAAATAAATAAAACCTCAGATATTTATATCCCAAACTGACTGATAGTCTAGAGCTACCAAAAACAATTCTCTCTTTCACTTCTCCTCATTTCTATTCCAAGGCAGCAACAGGCACACGCGCAACCGATTTTTAGCAACACCGTCGTCTATTATTACTAAATCAACGGCGTCTATGGAGGGAGAATGAGGCATAATGAACGGCCACGATTTCCGTCATCCTTAGTATCTTCATCAATATCACGTTCGACATGTCGGTGTCCTGTTCCGATCGTTTCACTGACTTACTCTGTGGTGAGGATTCAGACGAGGTGTTCTCCGGCGATTCTCCGGCCTGTTCTTCGGAGCTTGACTCCCCGGCGTCTTGCATCGAGGAATCCTCCATCGCTGGCTTTATCGAACACGAAAGGAACTTCGTTCCCGGATGCGATTACTTGGCTCGGTTTCAGTCTCAGTCTCTCGACGCATGGGCTCGAGAGGAAGCAGTTGCATGGATTCTGAAGGTGAACTGACTAAAACTGTACCTCAGTACTGTCAATATCTCTGTTCTTCCAATATTACGATGGTACGACAAGCGCAAATTAGCTGAACCACGGTTTCGCTAAAAAGCGCTCGATATGTTTGGCTTTCAAAATCGAAATAAAGAGATCTAATAACAGCCGTCCGATGGACGGAGATAATCATCGCTTGGCGGCTTCTACTTTGCAACTTTTTCCATTCCACCTTTTTTTCATCAATAATGCTTTTGAAATTATCTTTTTGTTTGTTTGCAGGTACAAGCATTCTATAATTTCCAGCCTTTGACGGCGTATCTTTCCGTTAACTACCTAGATCGGTTTTTGTACTCTCGCCGCTTGCCGGTGAGCTTTCTTTCTTCCGTCACTGATTAATAAAACTTAATTAAGAATTATTAGCTTTTTATCAAAGCTAAAGTTAATTAAGAATCATTAACTGGATAATGATAATTTGAGTAATTAAATTTTTTTACTATTTGATGCACTTATGGCTTTATGCTTCAGTTTTCAACGTCGATAAAACATTGACAAAGACTTGAGTAGCAAGCAATAAATAATTAAGAAACGCTAGACCTTTTTGTTTGTTTGTTTGTTGAATCTAATTGTGGCTTGCCTTTGCATTAAATACAGAAGGAGACTTTTACTGAAGTGCAGTTATTAAACTTTTTTTTTTGAAAGACTCTTCTAGTGCTATTTTCTTTATGATGGTATGTATATATATTCCCTTCAATAAAGTTATACTGGAAATATAATAATATTATGCTTGTTTCTTTGACTGGTGGTTGGTGTGTTCTTTTAAATGAACTCAGTAAATGTGCACAGTGCATAGAATTTACCTTAGATATTCCCATTATGTTTTGTTATTAATTGGATGATGATTTGTGGTGATTAACAACGAGATACCTTTTTATTTTACTATTCAGCAAACTAGTGGGTGGCCATGGCAACTTTTAGCTGTTGCTTGCTTGTCTTTAGCGGCCAAGATGGAGGAACCTCTTGTTCCATCTCTTTTAGATCTTCAGGTATATTTCTTTTGTTAAAACTTTTTCAGGGTTGCTCTTTTTTCAATTATAAATTCCACTTATCATTAATTAGTTTAATTTCAACTGAATGCTGTGTTTATGCAGGTAGAGGGTGCCAAATTTATCTTTGAACCTAAAACAATTCGCAGAATGGAACTGCTTGTTCTCACGGTTTTGGATTGGAGGCTGCGATCGGTAACGCCATTCAGTTTCACTGATTTCTTTGCCTATAAGGTCGATCCAACAGGAACTTTTTTCGGGTTCCTGATTTCGAAGGCAAAGGATACCATTTTATCCAATATCAAAGGTAATAATTCTCTATCTGTAGGTTGATATTATACACACACTGACACACACACAATAAGCATATAAAAAGAAACTTGTTTGTTATTTGTGAACAGAGGCCAGTTTTCTTGAGTATTGGCCGTCAAGCATTGCTGCTGCAGCGATACTTTGTGCAGCCAATGACATTCCAAACTCATCCCTTGTTAATCCCGAACATGCTGAGTTATGGTGTAATGGACTAAGCAGGGTAAGCTCAACTACTTAGCAAATAAATGTCGTGATTCTCTGTTTAGTAAGGAAACTTTTTGTATGCCGACTTGGAAAAATATCCCCCATTTTATTTGCAGGAAAAAATCCTTAGCTGCTACCGGTTAATGCAAGAACTGATAGTCGACAACGCTAGGAGGGAACCACCAAAGATCTTACCTCAGCTTCGAGTAACGATCAGACCCGGAATGAGGTCCAGTGACTCATCACTTTCACCCCACTCGTCACCTTATAAAAGGAGGAAATTAAATAACCACTCGTGGGTAGATGATGACAAAGGAAACTCCGAGTAGAGCGATGTGTGGGGAGAGGGAAATTACAAAATAAAAAAGGTATAATATCAAAATTAACCCCCAATGTTTATCTGAAGGGTCGCTTTAGCTTATATATATTTTTAAACATTTTAGCCCCTAGTTTTTTTAAATTTTTTGCCAAAATATCCCATGTTAAATAGAAATCATTAATTAATTAGCGGTTAATACATGTTGTTGACATGATAGTCCTATAAATACTTAATTATTGACGTGACTCATATTATGTCATCATTTTGGGTGACGTGCTATGCGATATATCAATAATTTAGCACATTTGAAAATATAACACCATCAACATGTTAACCGTTAGTCAATTAACGCTTTCAATTTAACATGGATCATTTTAACCAAAAATTAAAACGTAAAGAGTTAAAACACTCTAAAATAGAAATAGATGCCAAAATAATCATTAACATAAACATTGAGGGCTAATTTTTGCATTATGTCAAAAAGAATGTGGTACAAGATGTCTAGAAAACCTCAACATTTTTCTTGGAGGGGTTTGAGAGTAAATTGACCCGAGTGATAATATTAGATTATATAGTTTATTAATGTATGTATGAATATTGCATATTTATTAATTTTTATTTTCGTGGTGGTGGGCGGGGGGGGGGGAAGCCATTCATTAATTGCTTTGCATATTCCCATGTTTAATTGGGATTGAGGATGTTTGTAATAATGGAAGGATGGAGTTGAGTTCCGAAGAGCGAGATGGGTGGCGGGTCCCTTGGGCGACACCAGCCCGGTTAGGCCGGGTTAGGGATCGAACGGTTCATCGAGGGATGGATTCAAGCTTTTCCCCATCAAACCCATAACTATCGTCTTGCTTCAATGTCTGCTTTTTTGCTATTTCGGTTTCGCAAGGCACGGCTACAAATATATGGGAGAGGACCAATAAATGTTTCTGTTTGTTGGTATTTTTTTTCAGTTTTCGTGTGCACTCGTTTTTGGTACGTGTGGCACACGCGTGTCTATGAGTTCTTTCTTTTGGCGGGAAATGCCTCCTCTTCTTTCAATGGCCGTCTTGAGTCTTGACCTTTGGTCTAACCAAATACTGGGCTTTTTTGTCGAATGGTGTTCATGTGTTCTCATGTGTGTGATGTAACACGTGTGCATAGCTCTTAATTTTTTTCTTCATTTTTTTAAAATTTCCAAATAGTATTAGGAGAAAAAAAAGCTCTTTGGTGGCCAATTTTTGGCCTAAATCATACGAAGAAAGGTCTTTGGGTCCTTTTTCAAGCGTGTTTTATGTATTTGATTATTCAATAAAATTTAATAATAATCAAATTATTTACTTATGTAATAATGTTTTATTTATATTATTTCGTACCCATTTTTATTTCTTTCTGTGTCAGCACGTGATTGACAATACATAAATTTGTAATTTTGCCATTGGTTTTATTAACTGTATCTGGAAGGAAAAAAATCGAATGAATTTCACAGTGGAATTTTGTGGTGGCATCGCTGAGTGAAGGGACTACGACTCGGCCCCGCAGGCAATAAAGACGGTTGATCCATGATCCATGAACATCACCCCCGCCCTTAGTTATCGTCTCTCAGGACCGCCTCAGGACTGGTTGGCTTATCTATATATATAATAAAGTTTTAACTCAATTGATATTATTATTATTATTATTATTATTATATAATAGGTTTCGAGTTTAAACATACTCTAATTTGTAATAATTTTTTTATAAAAGTTTTATTTAGATCAACTTCAAGACAGATATCAACTCAAAACACTATCTCAAATACTTTTTCTCCGTGACTATTAAAACCTTGTTTACGTGGGTGATAAAAAAGAGAGCAATAGGTGGAAGGCGTGAAAACTAATCTCCTCCTTTTCATCTAAAAGTGTTGCATTGCATATAATGCGAGTTTTCTTGTGACATTGCAGAGAGAAAAATGTCCATTTAAGTTGTCATTTAGCCATTGGTAACCGACATAGGGCAAATAATATCATCTTTTACATTGCATGTGATAATAGAATGGCCCTTCACAAAAAGGTAGCCATGCATTTTAGTTAGGGCAAACTAAGCTAATGGCCATGCAAATGGCAAACCTTATCACCTCCACTCAATATCCATGACATTCAAAAAAGTTGGGTAAAATATGTTAGAGGTCATTAAATTTATCAAACTATTATAAAAAGGCCATCATGACTTTACAAAATAGTCATTAAAATCATGGATTCATTGAAAAATGTTCATGATGATCATTTTATAACAATATTATAAATTTAATGATTATTTTATATTTTTTGAAAATTCAATGATTAAAAAATATTTAAATATATCTCAGTGACCTCCAATTTATTTTACCCAAAAGGTTTATGTGCCCATTTTCCCCCATGGGCCGTGGTGAAAGGAAATCTTACACTAGGTGACAATTCTTCACCGGTACAATTTTATCCACTCTCCTGGATCTACTCTCAGTTAACTTGGATATATATATATATATATATATATATATATATATATATATATATATATATATATATATATATATATAAATTCATCAAGTGAGGTTGGTGATTAAGGAAAGTGTTTTTTTTTATAAATTTTATATTTGAGTAGCTATGTAAATAAAATATGTATGCATTATTAATAATTAAAAAAATTCTAAACATATATTATCTTAAACTCATTTTATACTATAAAATAATAAATATATTTTCTCTTGATCGAGGAAATCCATGACCCCGAAGGAACAGCCCCTATATGCACATAAAAGGTGTCACAATCAGCTTTGGTAATTTAGTTATAGGAGGAATCCCTTGTAATAAAATGCTGTGTTTCCGCCATTAGGTGGGAGACATGTAGAATTGGAGTTTTATCAACCCATAACAAGATGCATAACTTCCCACCTCACATCCAAACTAAGTGCAGAGCCAATCAATGTAAAAGCAATTGAATTATAATTTCGACATTAAATATGTAAATCATTATTTTTAAGATAAATTTACATGTTCTATATCCAAAGAAAATAACAAAAGCTGTTACAAATCAAAGATTGGCAATCACAAAATATATTTGATTTTCATCCTTATATGTACAACTGGTGGATTAACCTGCAGCTTTAGGGTTTAAATATGCCCATGGAACGGGACAGACAATAGGCCAAGGTGTTCGCATGCAATGACGTAATTATTTACAAAAATAATCACTAATTTTTAAAACTCTAAATTTTAATTCTAAATATTAAATTATGAACATAATATAATACTACTATGTCACGACTTAAAGATTAAAAATAATTTACTGATCAATCAAGTCGTAACATTCATATCATATTCAATGATTTTATTTTATAAAGGAATTTGATTAAATAAACCAACTCGAATAATTTACTTTTCAATATTAAATATATTGATAAGTTTAAGCAAAGAAATAAAAATAAATTACTTTTTTTCACCCGTTGAACACCAAATTATAAAACTACATCCAACCCTAAAATTTATTATTCGAATAATTAAATAATAATTATACATATGTTTCTTAACATTGAATCGAGAAAACAAACATCGTAGTGATAAATTACATTCATAATAAAACGCAACAACAGTATCGTAATAATTTTTAATATCATCGTAACACTAACGGTATTCATAATTTTTTGGAGAAACAAATCAGAGACATAAGGTTATCCTATTGACGTTTGCGTATTGGTAGATAGCCTTTTACCCTTTCTAGGAGAATGGTTAAAAGTGGGGGAATCCAAAGTTTGAAGCCCATAAGCCAAAGTTTCATTTCGGTGTGCGTGTAGGGTGCAGTTCTCCAGAATGTAAAAACAAGTTCGTGGGGTTCTCTGTAAGAGTACCTATCGGTCCCCATTTGGCTAAAGAGTTCAAAAACTGGAATCATATGCTGATATGTTGTTTGATTTTAAAGCAAGTCAGCATATCAACTATTCATCATCATACCATCTCTCTCTCTCTCTCTCTATATATATATATACACACACACACACATCCTTCAATATCCATGTTTTGTCTCTTTAATCTTTTGAACATGAACCGCACATATAATCCATTCTGCAGTTTTCGTTCAGTGCTTTTCTTTTATAAAGTCTGCAATAATTTCAGTAGTTTCATAGATATTTGTGTTGACAGCAGCATGTGTTTGTATAGGGTGTAGTAGAGACTAGAGAGTAAAGGGCTATAAAAGACTAATAGTTGTTTTGTTTTGGCGGAGAAGGTTGTGGTTTTTGGCTTTTCCAACTCTCTTTGGATGCCATTAAAGGGATGGATGGATAGTCTCGAGGGAGCGTGGGTACTAGCCTTCGTGTTATTCTTTAATAGTTTTTGCCTTTGCCATAGTGCATATGGACCTCTCCATTTGCAAGAGTGGAGACAAAAGGGTCTTCTATTTAATCATCAAAACTCTATAACTTCCCTTCATGTACATGAATATATGCTCAAGAGTGGTTTATCTCAAGACCCATATTGGGGAGCATGCATGTATAATTACAGACATACCTATGCATGTCATGGTACATATACATGCATGCATATGGACCTCTCTATTTGCAAGACATAAGGGCCTTCTATTTAATCATCAACACTCAAGAACTTCCCTTTATGTGCATGTATATATGCTTAAGAGTGGTTTATCTCAAGACCCATGTTGAGAAGCATGCATGCATGTATAATTTCAGACATACATGATACATGCATACATATGCATGTCATAGTACATATACTATGACATGAATATGGACCTCTCCATTTGCAACAGTGGAGACAGAAGGGTCTTCTATTTAATCATCAGCACTCAAGAACTTCCATTTATGTTCATGTACATATGCTTTAGAGTCAAGACCCATATTGAGGAGCAAGCATGCATGCATACATGTATACTTTTAGACATACATACATATGCATGCATATGGGCCTCTCCATTTGCAATAGTGGAGACGAAGGGTCTTCTACTTAATCATCAACACTCAAGAACTTCCCTTTGCCCTCCAATTCATATCACCCCTTCATGTACATG